TAGATGATCAATAAGAACAACAAGAGTAGATTAAGATTCTAACCCCAAAACACGAATTAAACGGTTTGAACTCTAAGGATCAAGCTTGGAAATCTATTCCTCCTCTAAGAACTTCTTCTTCTTCTAGAGCTTCTCTCTCCTCACAAACAAAGACATATAGCAAATGATACATTTCTAGGTCTGCTGGCTGACTTAACACTCAGCTGGGACACGCGGCACTACCAGGTTGGTTCTCCTCAAAAAAGTGGCTGAGTGAAAAGACAAGACTATGACAAAGTGTGTTCAGCAAGCAAGATGGCATAGGCACTCCGGCAGGTAATGATCTCGGCTAAGAACAGGCATCAGCAACTGGGGGAACAATGATCTCGGCTAGGAAGGACAACACTTGACTAAGCTGTGCCATACCTTGGCCTAGATGTGCCACACCTCGGTCTAGGTCATACCACTCCAGGACAAGATCACTTAGGTGCAAAGGTAACATCTCGGCCTTGGTGATGAACACCTCAGCCTAGATAATGGCATCTCGGCCAATATGTCAGGGCGAAGGTGGAGGTCAAACAATGTGGTTCCAAGATAATTCTAGACTGAAGATGACCTCGGCTAAACTCACACCAAGCAAGGTACAAAAGATGCAAGAAACAGTTAAGCAAAACAAATCAAGGTTTTGCAAAATGCAACATATCAAGACAAGATCATGTAATATATGCAAGCATGACTAGAGTAGAGTGAGGGTTGTTACATCCTACCCTCCTTCAAGAAGTTTGGTCCCCAAACTTAAATTACCTTGCTCTACAAATAACCCCGGATGACAGATTTTCATTTCTTCTTCCATTTCCCATGTAGCATCCTTGCCGTAATGCTCTTTCCATTCAATCTTTACCATCAGTATCGACTTGTTTCTCAACTGTCTCACTTGTCTATCAATAATTTTCATCGGCTTCTCCTCGTAGCCTAATTCTTCATTAACCACAATCCCGGAATAATCAATTACATGCGGTGGATCCCGAATATACTTCCTCAACATCGAAATATGGAACACATTGTGAACTTGACTTAGTTCTGGTGGTAAAGCCAATCTATAGGCAGCTGGGTTAACCTTCTCAAGTATTTCTAATGGCCCGATGTAACGAGGTGCTAACTTACTTTTTTTCCCAAATCTGGAAATTCCTTTCATTGGTGAAACCTTTAGGAATACATGATCCCCAACTTCAAATTCCAACTCCCTTCTTTTCTGGTCGGCATAACTCTTCTGTCGACTCTGAGCAGTTTTGATCCTTTGTTGAATGAGCTTAATCTTCTCGGTTGTAACTTGAACTAGCTCAGGGCCAATCAAAGCTTTATCTCCCAATTCAGTCCAACATATCGGTGATCTGCACTTCCTTCTATACAAAGCTTCGTACGATGCCATGCCAATGCTAGCTTGGTAACTGTTGTTGTAAACAAATTCTACCAACGGTAGATGTACTTCCCAACTCCCCTTGAAATCTAACACACATAGTCTGAGCATATTTTCGAGCGTCTGAATCGTTCTTTCTGTTTGTCCATCAGTCTGGGGGTAAAAAGTTGTGCTAAACTTCAACTCGGTTCCCAAGGCTCTTTGTAAACTCTGCCAAAATCTAGAAACAAACTTCGGATCTCGGTCTGACACAATGGACATCAGCACTCCATGAAGTCTCACAATCTCATTCATATACAGTATAGCAAGTCGGTCAGCATTGAATGTAGTCTGAACAGGGAAGAAGTGTGCTGACTTGCTTAATCTGTCAATGATAACCCAAATTGAATCCATGCCTTTTCGTGTCCTCAGCAAACCAACCACAAAGTCCATGGAGATGTGTTCCCATTTCCACTTAGGAATCGGCAAAGGTCGAAGTAGTCCTGCTGGCCTCTGGTGTTCTGCTTTCACTTGTTGACAATGCAAACACTGAGATACGAACTCGGCTATTTCTCTTTTGATATTCGGCCACCAAAAAGTTTGTTTCACATCTTGATACATCTTAGTGTTCCTCGGATGAACAGCAAATCTGGAACCATGAGATTCTTGCAGAATCTTCCTTTTCAACTCTGGAATGTCGGCCAAGCACAGTCTTCCTTCAAACTTAAGTACCTGATTTTCAGTAGTGTACCCTGACCTTGGCTTAGTGACAATCTCATTGGTAACTTTCTTGATGAATCCGTCTTCTATTTGTCTGGCCTTCATTTCCTCTATAACGGTCGGCTCCACTGAAATCATGGTTAAGCATGCCAGACTTCCAACTTATTTTCTGCTCAGTGCATCGGCTACTAAGTTTGCTTTACCTGGGTGATACTGAATTTGCATGTCGTAGTCTTTCAATAACTCAAGCCATCTTCT